TAGTTATCTTGTCTAGTTTTTGAATTGGGGAATGAATTTTTCTGTGACCCTTCCCTTCTTTTCCTCCTTTTTCCTTTCCCCTCCCCCCTTCATTTCTTTCCTTCTTTCTTTCTTGCAAGTGAAAGAAAGGGTTTCTTTTTTCTTGGCCGACCATTGGAACAGACTCGGTATTTTAGTATTAAAGCCCTAGTCTTGTTTGCTTTGGCATCCTGTGGTTCAATAGAGTAGTGAGTACTTTTTGGCCTGTGACCTTCGATTACATGGTTTGTCACAGTAGGAAGAGTTAATCAGCTGCCAGCTTGCCTGTTTGAACTTTATTAGTGATTTGCCCTGATTACTATCACAGCTGTGTTATGCTGGTGGTAACCTTGACCCCAGCCTTGCAAATAACCAGGGAGAGTAACAGGTTATATGAGGCTAGTGGGAAAAGTAGTGATTTTATTTATTTTCCTATCTGTGTATATCATTGGTGGAAGGTAGACTGTTAAGACTTTTCTATATTTGTTTTCAAGACATGAAGCAATTGTCTTTCTCATTCCTGAGAGCAAGCACTTCTCATGAGAGGTACACTTAGTTTTTTTTTAACATGGATTAGTGATGCCATTCTAGTCATTTCTTCATTTAGCTGTTATAGTAATCTTTTTTCACATGCTAATTCAATACACCTAAACTTTATTAAGTGTCTACTATGTTTAAGGCATATGTCAAAGGATAGCTAAGTGGTGCAGGGGATAGAGTACCAGGCCTGGAGTTCAAATCTGGCCTCAGACACTTATTAGCTATGTGACCGTGGCAAGTCACTTCACCCTGTTTGCCTCAATTTCCTCATCCGTACAATGAGCTAGAGAAGGAAGTGACAAACTACTGCAGTATCTTTGCCACGAAAACCCCAAATGGGGTCAGGAAGAGTCAGATATAACTGAAAAAGAACTGAATAACAACAACATGTTTAAGGCATCTCAAAGCCCAGGAGACATGAAGTTGAAACAAGATTCAGTTCCTATCCCCAAGGAACTTAGCTACTAATAGAAGTGGTAGGACCGTGTTGAGAACCAGACAGCTACTATATGACTGCTGTGTGCCAAATACTGTACCAGGCCCTGGACAAAATGCTCCAAGAAAACTTGCAGAGGAAGAGATCGTAGGAGGATCATATATGAAATCGGGGGATTCTACTAGATGATCTGAGTTCTCTTCTACCTCTAAATTCTATGGGGGATAGAGGTAGGAAGATATCGTGGGAAGGTTTCCTGGAAGAAGTAGCATCTGTATAGGGCTTTAAATGAAGAGAATAATTTTAAGAAAATATCTCAGGCATGAGAGATGGCTCACATCAATGAAAGTGACAAAATGGAGGCCAAATGAGATTGGGAAATAGCTGGGTTAGAATATCAGAAGTACAGAGATTTCACAAAGAGTGTGTGTTAAGGTCAAAAGCGTCCATTGCAGTTAGATTTGAGGGCCTTGGAGGGCCAATTCTGTTTTATCTTCTGCAATGAGGAGGATTTTTAAAATAGCCCAGGTAAGAAGTGATGAGGATCTGACATAGAATGGTAGCAATGTGAAGAGAGAGGGGATATGGGGCTCTACCCCATGAAGTCCCTCAGCCTTCACATCCCTGCAGTCAGAAATGATCTTTCCCTCCCTGAATTTTTCAGGCTACTCTATTTGATCTCTCCTTTGTACTTATCCTGTTCTAACTTGCTGTATCCATTGTATTTGTTACACATCTTATCACATAAGGGTTTGTAAGCTCCTTCTCATGTCTGATATCTAGCATGTGCCTTGTGCATAGAATATGGGTAGGGATTGGACCTGTGTTTCATTAATGTAGGGAACTTATGACTGAGTTAATTCCTTCTTTGCAACTTAATAGTAATTTTTTTTTTTGCCAGTGACTTGCCTAGGGTCACACAGCTAGTATGTGTCAAATGTCTAAGGCTGGACTTGAACTCTGGTCCTCTTGACTCCAGGGCTCTATCCACTCTATTTGCCCTGCCACCCAGCTGCTCCTAATTTACAGTCACAGAGGTGTCAAAACTCCCAAATGTGGCCTGAACCAGATTAAAATGTAATTGAGAAAGGTTTGACAAAATAAATTAAAATTACAATAGAGAGAATATTAATTTGCTTTTTTCTACTGGCCCACAGGAATATGTTTCAATTTGAGTTTGATACTACTGAGTGATTTGCTCAGGGCTACTGTGTCAGTGGAAAGACTTCCTCTTCTGGTCCAGTCCAGGTCTTCTTCACTCCAAAGACCTCAATGCTATGCTTTTATAGCATATACAATAAGAATAGAGATTAAATGTCATCCCCTTGGTACAGGGAAATGCCTTCTGCAGCTGCAGGTCAGCACCTTCTTTTTAGTGTCTTAGCTGTCTGAAGAACTGAGTAGTTAAGTGACTCAACCTGTTAAGTGACAGGTGTGTCAGAGGCAGACCCTAGTCATCCAGGCTCCAAGGTCACCTCGGATAGGTTTGAGAAATATTGCACAGGTAAAACTGACATGACAACTTTTTCCACATAGGTGGTAAGGGAAAGGGAAAGTTTAACTATGTCTTTCCTCATAATCTTAAGCATGGGTGAGTCAGGCACTGTGCTAATTGATGGTGATATAAAGAAAGGAAAAAGACAATCCCTGCTCTCAAGATGTCTAATGGGGGAGATGGCATGCAAATATTTAATGTCCAAACAAGCTACATATAGGATAAGTTGGAAATAACAGAGAAAAGGCACTAGAATTGAGGATAGCTTCCCGTAGAAGGTGGGATTTTAGTTGAGACTTGAAGGAAGCTAGGGAAGATACTACTGTACTCTCTAAAGAGGGAAATTGGGAGCCAGGGGCAGGTTTAGGAGGGATGATGAAGAAACACACCACACATCCAGGTTTGGGGAAAATGTACTCACCTATTATTAGGTCATTCATTTGGTCAAGAACCATATTGCCTATAGTTTTACGTCTAAACTGAGCCTAGAATTTTAGGCCCTCCACAGACTAGCTCCCCAAAACACATACCTTTGATCTTGGGCAACTCACTTAACCTCTGTCTGCCTCAGTTTTCTCAACTATAAAATGGGAATAATAATAACACTTGCCTCGCAGAGTTGGAAACAAATCAAATAATCTTTGTGAAGCGCTCAGCACTGTGCTTGGGACATAGCAAGTGCTTTATAAATGCTTATTCCTGTCTCCCTCTTTTTGCTTACAACTCAGCCCACAGTCCCTTTGCTCCAGCTGGACTGCTCAGTACTTTATGATGCCCTTTGGCTACTCAGCACTAAGCCATATCGATCCCTTCCTTTTTTGTTAAGTGTTCAGTCATTTCTGACTTTTTGTGACTCCATTTGGGGTTTTTTGACTAAGGTATTGGTCCTTCTCCGGCTCATTTTGCAGACCAGGAACCGAGGGAAACAGGGTTAAATGACTTACCCAGGGTCACACAGGTAGTAAGTATCTGAGGCCTGATTTGAACTCACAAAGAAGAGTCTTCCCGACTCCAGGCCCAGTGCTCTATTCACTGTGCCACCTAGCTGCCTATAATCCCTTCCTTTATGATCTGACTCAATATTCCACATATCGTTTCTTGTCTGTTTCTGTCTAAAACTGATCACTCCTTTACATGGCTTGGCTTTTGTTCTCAGGTATAAACGTTTAGGACCTTTTTTTGTAATGTACTTTTTGTTATTCTGTGGTTTAGTTTATGTATATGTTTGCATGAATGAGTTATAAATATTTCAGGGGTAGTAACTGTGTCCTCCAGTTATATATCCCCATAGAGTCTACTATGGGGCTATAAAAGCAAAGGTTTTGACGTCATGCTTCAGCATTTTAAGATCTATTAGTTTCCTCCAAAAACTCAATGAACCCATTTAGCATCTGTGTTATGTTAGTTGGAATTCTCCAGTGCTTAATACAGGACCATACAGAGTCCCTGGATGCCCAAGAAATAGCTGTTATTAATAGATGTCATTCAACCACTGTTTATTGAATGCCTATTAGGAGATGAGAATTATTTAAGGTGTCATGAAGGGTAAGCATAAAAGAGCATAAAACGAGCCCTGCCTTCAGGGAACTTATACTCTACATGATGCTGATATTGAAGCACAAGGAAATGAATTTCAACTAATTAACTTTAATTAACTTTAAAATGTCTTGGAATAAATTCTTCTTATCCCATCACAAGTATATTTGCTTTCTAGAGAAAGTGTCATAGTATTGTTTGATCTTCAGATGTTTCATTAATGGTGCATGTCTTGTAAAGACATTATCTAAAGTCAAGACCATCACACTTCATAGTTATGGACATTATTTTGTTAATAGGAAGTCTTTGAGGGTAGCCAGTGCTGAACACAAGAATTTTGAGCACATACCAGGCACTGTGCTATGCTCCTTTGGTCCATTGTGATCTCATTTAGAGGTTAAAATTCTGTGTAGGAAGCTGCTTTACAGGGTGCTCACTTGTATCTATTGTCTGTCAGAGAGTCTACAAGAAATAGCCATGCAAAATAATGGGATTTTTATGTCACATATGTGATCAACTGTTTTGAGTTTCTCCAAACAGGCAAATGCATAAACATATATACATACATACACATACATATGAGTTTTGTGGGCTAGTTGTAGTGTTCTGCCTCATTTTGTGAAATGATGTATTTTTAAGCAAAATTTCTCTATCTACCATGTGACATTTCCAGCAGGCTTCAATGAAATTTGACCACAAAGCTCAGACCTTGTTTTGGATTCATTAAACCCGACTGCCTTTAATCTTGAAGCCAGTTATAGTGTGACAAGCCCCATAGTTTTAACGTAGCTCATGGAATGCTTATTACACAGTATCAAATTTCCAAATTTTTTGTTTCTTTTTTTTTTCTTTATGACTGCCATATTCAGAGAAAATGTTGTGTTAACTAGATAGAATGTCTTTAAGTTCTGATCTTTGGTGTTTTGTTTTTTTTCCCCCTTTCTGTTTCCTTTTTATTCCCCCTTTGTCTTTCAGTCCATGGCTATGAGTGAACCACATGCTACTACAATGAATCCATTGCCTTCTTTTACAACCGGAGTGGGAAGTACCTCGCCACAGAATGGAATACTGTCAGCAAGCTTGTGATGGGACTTGGAATCACTGTCTGTATCTTCATCATGTTGGCCAACCTGCTGGTCATGGTGGCGATTTACGTCAACCGCCGCTTCCACTTTCCTATTTATTACTTAATGGCTAACTTGGCTGCTGCAGATTTCTTTGCTGGATTGGCATACTTTTATCTAATGTTCAACACAGGGCCCAATACACGAAGACTGACTGTAAGCACCTGGCTTCTTCGCCAGGGTCTCATTGACACTAGCCTGACGGCCTCTGTAGCAAACTTGCTGGCTATAGCAATTGAAAGACACATTACAGTTTTTCGCATGCAGCTGCATACCCGGATGAGCAACAGGAGGGTGGTGGTTGTTATTGTGGTCATCTGGACCATGGCCATTGTAATGGGTGCTATACCCAGTGTGGGCTGGAACTGTATCTGTGACATCACTAACTGTTCCAACATGGCACCTCTCTACAGTGACTCTTACTTAGTCTTCTGGGCTATTTTCAACCTGGTTACTTTTGTAGTAATGGTGGTCCTGTACGCCCATATCTTTGGCTATGTCCGACAAAGGACTATGAGAATGTCTAGACATAGTTCTGGACCAAGGAGGAATCGGGACACCATGATGAGTCTCCTGAAGACTGTGGTCATTGTGCTTGGTAAGTGCTGTCTTGGTTGAAAATTTCTTTCCAAATTCCTAATGCTTTAACAATTAATAGTAGAGATGAACTGGAATAGTAGAGAATGTTGGTCCAGAAAAGTATGTGCATGTTAAGCAGGGAAAGAAAAAACAAGCTGGCCTCAATACTGAATCTTTGGATGTTAGGTCTGCTAGTGTGGGTGTCTGTTTTGGGGGTGGGTTCCCCTAATGGTATTATAATGATAAGGAGGAAATGGCCATTCATGGAAGACTTTAGCTAAGTTGAAATTATGAAACTTGGTCTCACTTAAATTTTTTTTAACTTGAAAAGGCTTTGCATTTAGTATATGCCGTAGGCCATGTGTGTGTATTTTTAATTCAGTTATCAGATGTAAAGCATTCTCTTACATGTATGTGATTTTTAACTACATATTTCCATAAGTAGTTATTTTCATCAATATTTCTGAATAAGAGTTCACTTTTTGTAATTTTTACTACCTCAGGTAAGTGCTGATAAATAATGCTTTTGTCGAGATTTTCCACACAGAGTAAGAGATTCTTTGCAACAAACAGCTCTAACAGCCCTCTTAACTAAAGATATTTAATCTTCTGAATTGTTTTTGCTCTGAATTGTTTTTACTTCTGTAGTAATGGTGACCCTATATACTGGTAAATTGAGTCATGGCTGACAAAGCAATATCTTTGTCCTTCTCTACTTAAGCAAATGAAAATACTTCAAATTTTGAATAGAAAGGCTAATATTCTCCTGTAAAGTTGTATTTAAATGAATACAAATTTATCCTAAATTTTAAAAGGCAAGAAAATCATGTGGAAGAGATTTCCTTATAAGATTTCTCTCATCCGTACAAATTGTATGGTCAAAGCATTCGTTTATGTGATTTCAATTCACCTTTCATATTCCTAATTAGATGGGTATCTAATTATAGTTTGCTTTTCCCTAAGAAAATTTACTAGAATGCTTTATTGTTTGCCATGGAATGGAAACAAGTATAAGTCAAGGCTACATTGGACCAAATTCACGGAGGAAAAGATAAAATTTATGAAACACTAAAATATCCTAATTATGAGGTGGTTACACTTCGAAGGCCATCCTGTAGCACGGATCCGGAAGACAGTTCTATGGAAGTGTTATATTGTGTCACTCGTTTTATCTACTTTATGAAGCAAGTTTTGACAGACTATTAACATCACTTAAGTGTTGTCTTAGAGAGGCTATGTGACGTACTAAATGGAGGGTTGCTCAGGTTGGGGTTTGAGTCATGCCTTTGACACATAGTAGCTTCATTATGCTGGGGCCCAGGGGTGGGGAACCTGCAGTCTCGAGGCCATATGTGGCCCTCTAGGTCCTTGAGTGCGGCCTTTTGACTTAGTCCGAGTTTTACAGAACAGATCCTTTTATTAAGTGAATTTGTTCTGTTAAGTTTGGATTCAGTCAAAGGGCCACACTTGAGGACCTAGAGGGCCACATGTGGTTTCCCACCCCTGTGCCTGGGTAAATCACCTGACCCCTTGGTGCTCCCAGGCAGCTCTCTAAAATAGTTGTAGAGGAGATGCCAACCTAAATTAATAAAGGGATTCTTTCATTGGCGCTCCCTGTACTGATGGAATCACAGATCTAGTTTTTTTAGTTGTTTTTTTTTAAAGCATAATGTTGAATCCTGCCAGATAAGCATTACAGGTAATTTTTTTAATAAAGTTCAACCATTATGTGACTAATATTCAATTATACTTACTCCTTTTCCTGTCAGTGTACTCTTGAAATAAAAAGAAGAAAAAAAGAATACCACACAAAGCAGTATTTCACATTCTTGAGCATTAAGAATGTATGGCACTGGGTGCAGATCTCAGAATTAGACGTCCAGTAGTGCTTACCTGGCAGGCTCAGAGTCTAAATCTGTGGTCATAAAAAGTGATTTGGTGAACTCTAGACCAACGCTTCTTAAACTGTGGGTCACACCCCACATGGGTGCAAGAAAGGGTCTAAAGATCAGCAGGATTACCAGAAGGCCCTATTTGAGCTGTGGATCAGGTGGAGTAGGAGCCAGTCCGAAAATGTGGACGGTAATACACAGCTCCTGGAAATCTGGGCTCTGGGCATGTCTCACAGCATTGCCCTGAAATTACAGTCGGCCTTCATGGATGTCCTGCCTAAAGTCCGAGGTCTCTCAAGCAGCCTACAAGACGAGCTCCAACAGGCCTGCTATGACATGCAGGAGCTTCATACCACTTTTTCCCTATGTAATGGGTTTGAAGATCTAGACAAGCATCATCTGACCCAGAGCCAGTTTAAGCTGACTGAAGCCCAGGGAAGTATAGAAGAATTGTTTTGTTTCTTAGAGGATAGTATTCCTTCTGGATGGATCACAGGACCCCTTTACCCCACTGAATATCCCTTCACAGGTAATGGCACTTCCTAAAGAAAAAAAATATCTTGAATTGTGATATGGAATCAGGCTGATACTTTCAGATTCCTGACAACAGTTGTACTAGTTTATAGTTAATAACTGCACTCTGTATACATTTCAGATTATGCAAATGAAGTTATATTGAAAATTGAAAAAAAAACACTAAAAGGTTTCTGAACATGTACAATGACCAAAAATTAATTCAAAATCAAACACATGATGAATCTGAGGTGTTTCTGGCAGTGCTTGCCTGTGTTGCATCACAACTTCATTGCAGCTTTGGTTTTGAACACAAAGCATGTGTACTTTGCACTGCACATGCCCTCAGGCCACCTGATGCCAAGAAATGCTGCCAAAATGTGAAAAGGGGTCAGAGTGGAAAAAGTTTAAGAAGCCCTTCTCTAGGCTATCATCACTGACATCAAAGAATACATGTTCATTTGAAATCTACGGTCTTTCATTTTGTTACATGAATGTAAGATTTAGAACTAGCTATGACCTGAATAGAGGTAATCTGTGCCACCCTATCTTTTCGGTTATAGCTGAGACAGTAAGAGTCCGTGGAAGTTATGTAACTTGTCTAACGTCACAAGACAAGATCATGAACTGACCTCTCAAGTTAAATCTTAGAGTGTAGCTTGTGCTCTTTAGTTGTGCGGGAAGTTTGGTAAAAATCATTCAAATTCATCTGAAAGTTTTCATGGAACAGACAGACAACTCAGAATGTTGCATGGTTGAGTTTAAACCTTACTTCACTTATTATGAGGGAAAAGAGAAAGAATTGTAGTTGACTTAATAGAAAAAATTGTTGGAATCCTGAAGAATGAAACAGATATGATGAGAAATGGATAACTTAAAACAGGATCGTTTGATTGCTAACCCACCACAAGCAAGGTTTTGTATTTATTCTTCTTTCCTGTTCTCTCTCTTTCTCTCTTCCTATGGACTTTCTAATTTCTAATTCGACCCCTTGTTTTTGGTCAGAAATAAAGTTAATTTGAACTTAATTTTTGGACATTGTGTCCATTCTGTGGAAAGTTTGAATGCTTGACTGAGGTCTGAGGGTTGTACTTTTTTTGTCAGTAAGCCAAATTATGTGTAATCATTAATATGAAGCTTTAGAGATAACACAACACTTGTCTGTATATGTGTATAATGCTGTAGAGATAATCTTCCAGATTTCCCCTTCAGATTTGCAAGAGAAAGGGAAGTAGAAATACTTTTACTAAGAGGTGCCTACTTGATCTTCTCCTTCAGTTCCATCTTCAAAGACTTAGGAGAAATAAGATGATTCCTTTAGTCCAGCACCTAACTGAAATTTAACTGGGGAGAAAACCCAACCTTTTAAATTCCTTCCTAGGTTGTGGGTGCCTTAAGGATTTCAAAGGCCAACAATCTCCTGATAGAGAGACAATGGATAGGGAGAGAGGTTGTAGTTTTTTTGTTTGTTTGTTTGTTTTTGTCAAGGCAATTGGAGTTAAGTGACTGCCCAGGGTCACACAGCTAGAGTCAAGTGTCTGGTCTGAGACCAGATTTGAACTCGGGTCCTCTTGACTCTAGGGCCAGTGCTCTATCCACTGCGCCGCCTAGCTGCCCCAAGAGGCTGTAGTTTTGATCTCACATTAGGACACTTGTCCTACAAGCACAGAAAAACCTCGGCAGCTTGTGGATTGCTGAGACAATGACCTTTGGAAAATAGCTTTAGGTTATTTTCTTTAATCCTAAGTAAACTTTTAATTTTAGTCATGTTTAGCCATATAAGATCTAGGAATTAAAAGCTGAATTCTTAAAAGTTGCTTTGAAAATGAATGTGTATTATCAGACCTAGAAACCCTGGCTACTTATGATTGGAATTTTATAGGGAAACTGGTGTCAGCTGCGGTTGGCTATGAAGTTGAAATCCGGTCATGGTTCCAAACATTACTGTTCACGTTGAAAGGACTGACTCCCCCATTCATGTTGGCTCGTGTTGATCTCTGCATATTCTCTTGTCTCCTTAAATGAGAAGAATGTTTTAGGAAAACCTATGGTCATTTTTTTTTCTCTAGTGGTAATACGCATGCTTCTTATTTCATCTGTCAATTGTTGCTGAGCAAACGTAGTATAAGGGTAGAAGGGAAGACATTATACATCATATTCGTCAACTTGTGGGGTTCATTCCTAGGGTTAACTGATGGAGCTTATTTCTTTAACCAGTAGTAGATTAAATGCCCTGGTATCTCCAGATCAGTATATTAAGGAAAGTAGTGATGAAAACTCTACAAATTTCCATGATACACTAGTCCACTTGGAAAAATGTCACTCAAGGGGGCAGCTAGATGGTGCAGTGAATAGAGTACTGGCCCTGAAATCAGGAGGACTTGAGTTCAAATGCGGCCTCAGACCAAACACTTGGCACTTACTAGCTGTATGACCCTGGGCAAGTCACATAACCTCAATTGCCTAAAAAGAAAAAAAAAGAAATGTCACTCAAGAAATATGTTCTTATCTGACAAAACAGATGGTTTCTTCAATATGGAGGCCAATGAGCTTGACTTTGATTTCTGCCATGAGTTCGTGATCACAATGTAGGAATTTACTTTTTAAATACATT